CAACGAATTTCCTCGTTGCCTAAATCGCACCATATTGAAAAAATCTTGATTTTAAACGTTATAATAGCGCAAAACAATTATGAAAAAATTACATAAGAAAGGGAAAAGAGTACAGTTTATTATGTAAAAAACTTAAGAACATTCTTCATAATTTCTGAGTTATGAGCCTTTAAGTAAAAAGTGGTGCGATTTCGGCAATCTTACCCTACATGTTAAAATATTATATTTTTTCTTAATTAAATAAAATAAAATTTATATTAATTCTTCATATTGCGAAGAATTAAATTGCGAAAAAGAAATTAATAATTCTGAAAAAGAATAGGTATAACAGTTTCTATTTTGCTAATTTATTAACTCTTTTTACACGTTTATTGAAGAAGTGAAAGTACCTGGTATTATTGATTTAAGTAGCTGTTTTTACTGCTAATATTATTGCTTGCTGTTTTTATATCTGATTTTTACTGCTAATATTATTGCTTGTTTTTATATACGGTATTATTGATTTAAATACCTGTTTTTACATTATCTAAGTTAATTGTTATGAAAGAGGCAAGAGTCAACTTTTATGTGCATTTCTTCGGAATTATGTAAATGCGGAAAATCGTGGTAATTACTCGTTTTCTGTATTTTTTCAAATGTACACAGTTTTAGTAAAAGAAATTATTTATAATTTTAAGAAATTAAAATAAGTAAAAATCAGTCGGTTTTCATAAATTAAAATTTTTATATTGAAATTTTTAATATTAAAGGAATAAAAAGAAATTAATTTTAAAAAATAATATAATTTCTATATATGTATACTTTTTTTGTCAATTTTTTAATTCTTTTTTCACTTTAATATAAAAAAAGTCAAAGCATCTAATATTGATTTAAATAACTGTTTTTACATTTATCATCCGAGTTAAATGTTTTGAAAGCGCCAATTAAGAATCAACTTTTGCGTGTATTGCTTTAGAATTATATAAATGCGGAAAATCGATGTGAGCAAAGCATAACCGACATATTCATAACTTATAATTAACTTACTTTCAATTTATGTAATTTGAGGGTTCTTGCACGATCGCGAAACTCACTCGGTCGGTCCGTAAATAAATTAACCGAAGAAAATTGATCGTACTGATCCATAAAATAGGTTTCTGCTTTAGAAACATGCATGCATTCTAAAATGATTTCGTTTCGTAATTCGTAACAATTCATTAATTTAACAATAATTCATACGCGATTATACAAAACAGCTATGTAAAAAGAATTCCTTAGCACACTTTACTTACTCGAACCTATTAGCTTGTCCATAGATGGACAAATCTGCTTTCCATTTCGTACGATGTCAGGTTTTATGGCAGAGGACACGTCACATATAATTTATTTGAGTGAAAGCGAATAGCAATGCATCGACGCATGTTCGATTGCACGCACGCAGTTTCTATCTATTCTGGATAGTATGACACAGTTACATCATGTCAATGTAGTTGCAGTTATTCAGCGAAAGCGTACTCGCGCGCCAATGTCACTGAACTTAAACCGATAGGTGATTATAGAGTGTGTATATATATATATATATAGAGAGAGAGAGAAATTGGCATATTTTCTCGACAGATCGCAGACATTCATTTCTGAATAAAGAAAAGAAGAGTTCTCTAGATTTAAGTCATTAAATTATGACATTGATTTATCTTTTTTTGCAGTCTTCTATAATATCTCTTTAGATTCTTTAGAAAGTACAAAAATAGAAAAGATATAAGGAAAAATACGACATCGTAGATTGACACAAAAAAGAAATAAAATAGACGACGTGATGAATTTCTCTCGATTGCGAATCTGAAGCGAACTAAGACGACTGTTAGAGCAGTCGTTAGGCTCTGGCAAGCGGAAAGGTAGTTGCGCAAAAAGAAGGCTGCTCATAGAAGGTGCGCTTTCTACAGTTGGGTAGAGTTCCCTGTCTCTGGATAAGCCCGACGGTAGATAAACAAAAAGCGTGTCGTGCCGGTCGTGACAGAAACGCGAAGCATTTCGGCGAGAGAAGAAGAGAAACAAGAAGAAGAAGCGGTAGAAAGTGTGGGAGAAGACGCAGAAGCGGGATGCAACGATTTCAACGAAGGACACGAAGTTTCAACGATTCAGTGACAAGATGCAGTCAGTTAACGTTTATCGCGTTCTACATATTTTGCAGATAATTGCTGTTGTTACGGCCATCGTCGGAAAATTGCAGCCTGGTGAGTGCGTTAAGAAATGTGCTGAACGTCAGGATGATAAAAAGGACGTGACAGTCAAGTTCGCGGAATAAAAATCAGATATTCCGCTGATAAAAAAGGTGTCAAAATTTTTCGTCCTTGTCGCATTAAAACTGATATAAATTGCATGATTTTATGCATATCGCGTATTTATCAACTTTTCCATATTTTTGTAAGTAATCAGATGATTCTATCAATAAAATAATATTATTGTATATAATTTTAATAAGTTAATTTAAATATAAATACACGTAACTATACTTTCTTCTTTATTAATCGCATTTATAGTTCGTTAATTTTGATACAGTTTGACAATCCAGCATAATTTGCGGATATTTGTTATGTAATTATTGTAATTCATAATGCACGCGCGTATGAAGGAGAGCCGCCGAAAGCAGAACATCTAAATTTTCTCATCGGGAATGATATAAGAAAAAAAATCACGTAAAACAAATTCCACGTGTATACACGCTCACTATGCACACGAAACATTCGTAATGATTTGCAAGTGAGAAATACCGACGTACTTTGCACCTTAAAGTTGCATTTACATACGACACACTTTCACAATACAACTATTAGGTATAGTAGGATTGTATGCAATATTATGATAGATTGAAAATTCAATGCGAGCACAGGCTATAGCATCCACCAGCGCGGAAATCATACTGAAGCGATGCTGCAATGCTGAAGCGATGCTATTGATAATTTGCGGTGCGCCTGGTGCTCCTGGTGAAAGTAAAATATAAGTGGGGCGATCAGGCAAATAAAAACTGATCAACAACAAGCGGATGTACAATACCACGATTAAAGACTTGTTATATATATTGAATTCTTCCAAGGTAATATCGTATCTTTTTGCAGTCAAACTTTTCGCGGGACGGAATCGTGCTATACTAAGGCGGTTTGCCATCTCTCGTGAAGAAAAAACTAGAGTCTGTTACGGTAAGATAACAATAGATTACTTTTATGCGGAATAATTTCCATTACTGCATTAATGTGAACTAATTAAATATAAATTTGACATTTGCATTGTAATTTCTTTTCAAATAAATTTTTAATTAATTTTTATTTATTCTTAATATGAATGTTAAAATAGTAAGAAAATTTCAAACCGGGTTTCAAAGTAAGTAAAATATAACGATAAAACGGTTAATTTTTGCTGAGTTTTAACATAAAACTAATCTAAAAACAAACGAGTATTTATTCCGATAATGTAAAATATGAAAAATATTTCAGATCTACTCGGTTGCTTTGCGGATCCGCAGCAGCATTTATCGATAAAACGAGCGCCAGAGCATCCTAGCATAATTCAAACTAGGTTCTTCCTCTATACACGTGCGGACCGGCAAAAACCGGAACCCTTACAGTACGGGGACGACTTAAAATCCATCATACATTCCCGATTCAATGTCAGCAAGCCTCTCAGAGTGTTGATACACGGTTTCAAGGGCAGTGGTAGCGACGTCGGTGCAAAACTTGGCATAAATTTTCTTCTCGATATAGTAATCTTCAGTATTTTATCTTTCAATTTTTACACTTTAGATAAAATATCCTTTTCCTTTCCAATTTAAAATCATAAAATTCTCAAGCCACTTGCACCGTTGAAAAATTTTTAAGAGCTTTAAAATTTTATTTAACATACAGGAAGACGCGAATGTCATAATCTTGGATTGGACGAAGGGGGCGGGCACTTCTTACGGAAATGCTGTAGCAAATAGCGAATTGGTTGGTCGGCAACTGGCTTTGGTGCTTTTAGATACCATCAATTTGGGTGTCGATCCCTCCGACATTCACGTGATCGGTTTTAGTCTTGGCGCGCACGTGGCTGGTTGCGCCTCGGAAGTATTAAAAAGAAAAAGTCTACTTCTGGGTCGCATAACAGGTCTCGATCCAGCATCACCATTCTTCAGGCATCATCTGTTCAGAGAGAAATCGAAAAAATTGGATGCCACCGACGCCCGTCTCGTCGATGTCATTCACACTGATGGCTCTCAAGATTTCATGGACGGTTTTGGCCTACTTAAGCCGATCGGACATATCGATTTTTTCCCTAACGGCGGTAGAGAACAACCTGGCTGCACCGACATTAAAAATTCGGTCGTGGTCAGTCACTTAAAAGGCGAGTTAAGAATGAGCCAAGCGCGATTAAGTTGTTCAATTTAATTATGCATTAATTATGTATTTAATTACGTTCGATTTTGACTTATCTTCAGTTAGGCCGGTATTCCTAGTCGATTCTTATTTCAAGACCATCTTAAGTAATGTCTTAAAATATTAATATGGCTTTTTGATTGGTTTTATGGAGGCCTATGGAATTAACGAATTGGAATCAAGAGATGGGTTATGCGACTAATCGTGGACCATTGGGAAGTTATTATTTGGCGACTAAAGCCGAAACACCGTTTTGTGGTATCAGAATATAAGGATAATTATCTTTTTATTAGACTAAATGTCTATTGAAGCAGCGTATTATTGACATTAATTTTATAACATCTTAAGACGGTCTTAAATATAAGAAAGGTCATTTTTATATGAATATCGACTTTAAAAAAAATTATTGTCGAAACAAAATATTTATATCATGCCTAAGTTTTGGAATATTTTATTCTCACATAGTTTTTTAATTTATGTATACATTCAACACATTAGGAGAAAATTATATAATAGATAAGGCCCAGACAAAAAATTCTGAATTTTTGTTTTGCGATATATCATAAAACATTTAACCCGCTTTTTATTAAAGAATGTATTTATGCTTTTATAAAGTAGCAAATCATTAATTTTTTTATCACTTATTTTAGAAGATATATTGGACAAGAATATAGCGTGTAGCCATTTACGAGCTTTTCAGCTCTATATAGAGAGCATTCGCTCGCAAAATGAGAAATGCAAATTCATTGCATGGCCTTGTTCACAAGGAGGAATATCCTATGCAAAAGGAACATGCTTCCCTATGGAATTAACGAATTGGAATCAAGAGATGGGTTATGCGGCTAATCGTGGACCATTGGGAAGTTATTATTTGACGACTAAAGCCGAAACACCGTTTTGCGGTATCAGAATATAAGGATAATTATCTTTTTATTGAATTAAATGTCTATTGAAGCAGCGTATTATTAACATTAACTTTATTTATTAATATTATTTATTAATACTAATTTGTGTTAAATGGAATTCCATATAAACATGTATATTAACAAATATTTTAGCAATTAACTGTGCAAAATTAATTGCTAAAATATTTTTTAACAATTAATTGTGAAATTTTGTGTAAATACATATAAGAAATTATTTGTCTAATAATATGTTTGTATGGAATTCCATTTAATATAAAGTAATATTAATTTAATATTTTTATAAATTTTAGGTGAACCAGTCAGGGCATCAATAATGACGTCCGAAGATATGTTAAAAACATCTGGTACATTGTTCTTCAGAATCTTTCTTGCTAATTCTACAACGCTCTTCAAAATTCAATGCACGTAAGTAAAAAACCTTACTTACACTTATATATCAAGATAATTTTAATTTAAATAATAACAATGCACATTTACACAACGCATGCGAAGATAAATATTTAATATTGTACAATTTGATAAGAAAAGATGAATTTTTAAATTTCATAAGCATCAATTTGCATGTAGCAAAACCATTAGTGATTCTAAATATTATTCAAGATTATCCAAACAAATAAACGAACGAATGATATTTTATAACATTGCGGCGGTGGATTTTGACTCGTTAACAAGAGATACTGCATCGATTACCGGTGTTATCTCATATCAGCGCACTGCTAACGAGACAGAGGAAGATGCTGCACAAGATCCCGATGCAGACATAATACTTTTCAATAAACTAAGTTTGGAAGATCGTAAAGGCCATATGTAAATATGCAACATAATAATTTTGATAAAAACTCGTTAGCTATCAGATTTATTTAAACGAAGAAAAGAGGATTAATTTTTTACCACGTTTCATGATTAAATTCATTTACATAAATTAGTATTTATATTAAAATTGGTATTAATAAATTTACATCAATTATAGACAATATATAATTTGATTAGAATTCAGGAATTCCATTTATAATTTTATATGCCATGAAATATTAAAACAAAAAGAAATTATTATATAAAATATACATATAATTTTTTATGCTTTGTAAATATATGTTTATTGATTTCATATAATTAATATATATTAAATAATTAATTTTTGAATCTATATAAAATATATTTCATAAATTTATAATTTTTATAAATACCATATATATAATATATATTTTATTTATATGTACACATATATAAAATATACTATATATAAATATATTTAATCACATAAAGTGTACAGCATACAAAATTATAACTAGAATTTCATACTGAAATCTGATGTAAATTACGTATCGTCCAAAATGAGCTTTATGCAGTAAACTGAAATAAACTGCACAATACAATAATAACTAATTAAATTCTTTTTTTATCAACCAGGTGGGAATATTGCAGAACGAATACTGCAATTAATTCACACGAGCTACACGTAGAATTGAAAAATGAACGCTGTACACTGTCGTAAAATATCTCTGCCACGACATGACAGTTCAATGTTCGAATAAAAGTGGTCTGCATTGGTCTGCCTCTACAAGTAACGTTTTCAAAAAAATCGCAAGTTTTCATTTGTTTTACAACACCTATTCCCCTCCCAAAGCGCACAGATCAGGCCTGTTCTTTTTAGCTGAACTTTTGCATCAGTTCATCTTTCTTCCTTTTTTCTCTAGGAGGAAAAAAGAAAATTAATTTAATCTAATCCAATCTACTTTCTGCTCCTGCCGCCACAACGTATAAAAAACTGAGTATCAAATTCGAGTGCCTCATTCCGACAAATCGCGTGATTAAATTGTGACAAAAATTAATAATCATGCAGATGCGATAAATAATTTTACTTACCTTACCGACCCTCTGCGTCGCCGACGCCACCGATTCGATGCCGCGTCTTCACGCCGCCATTCCGCCATTCTGGAGGCTCCAAACATTCGTTCGGCCAACACATGTTGATTTGGAAAACACGGTCCATTACCGCGATATGAAAGTCATCCGGCGCTTTACGCAACACTCCCGACGCTTATGACACGCACGATCTGCCACGAACGAATAAATAACGCGAAAATGACGATTCGTCGCACACATCACACGCACACGATGCTTACCGAACTTGTAATGACTGGCGAGAAATTCAAAGTACGCGCGGGCAACTTCACGCAGGTGTCTAAAATTAGCAACTTCATGCGAAGAAACTGCCTCTCTCATCGACGAAGTGCCATCAATGTATTGTAGATAAAAAATCTCGTAATTTAAAATATTATAATAAATAAAAATATTAAATGGAATCGGTGAGACGAGAAAAGGATAAGTAAAAAAATTTTTTAGCACATTCTGATAACGTCACAGGAATGCGATCTTTTTTAATTCGGATCGTTGCGCACAGATGGCATCAATATAATTTTCTCACTCGCTCTCGCGATACTTGAGTGCTCTGCTACTCTGCGTATCCTAACCTCAAAGTAGCGGCAGCAAGTAAATAATAACGAGGATGTTACGTTCGGGTTAAATAAGATGACCCAACGTATCTAGTAGAGTAGATGCATATTACAATAGCTTGATCCAAGGTGTTCCTCGAGAATGAGCCACATCGTAATCGTACGTGCCTTCAAGCCGGGCGACGAGACCGGCTGCAAGAAATTAATCAGAGACTGCGTGATGTCGTCCCTAGGTGCCACGTTCTGCGGGATGTTGTTTAAGGAAATAACATTTCAGTTGATTATTCTGTTGTCCGCGATAATGTTCATTTTCTTCGGGATGCCGTTAACTGTCTGCCTCTTGGTTGTACCTGTAGTCATAGCATTGATATATGTTGGAACGTACGCCACTTTCGCTGCAAAGCTAACGGAGATCAACGGAGAGGTGACTAACATTCCGAGGTATTATTTTATGTATGATTTAACTCTCTGAAATCTATAGGTCTATTTTTTTTAGCTAAAGTTCTTACACGCTTCATCTTTTCCCTTTTTCTCTCCAACGTGGAGGAAAAAGAAAGAAAAATGAACCGTGCGAGAAGTTCAGCTAAAAAGAACAGGCCTTATAACATAGTTATTGGGCGTGTTCTTTTTAGCTGAACTTCTTGCACAAGTCATTTGTCATTTTTCTTTTTTTTTTCTCCAACATGCAGGAAGTTTAGCTAAAAAGAACAAGCCTACTGATATCAAATTTGTAAAATTCATTTAATTTATATTAATTAAAAGACATACTAATTTTAAGGAACCAGAGTGACATAACTTATATAAAAAAGAATGAAAGAGCTAGATATATTTTGATGAGAATATTTGCAGATGTAGCATAAAGAAAATTGAATTGACATTTTTGACAAAGAAATTTATAATTGAATGAATCTAATAGATCCACCGTCAGCTCCAGATTGTTAATGATACTGTTATTCGAGTCGATCTATTGTAACGTTTCAATGTTTTTGTTCACAGACTTTACATGTCGAACGCCTTCTCCTGCTTCTGGGTTGCTGAGGCGTTTGAGCCTTACCTGATGACACAACAGCCTAAGGAGGTTCATTATACTGTAATGAGGGAAGAACAATTTTATCAAGCCAAGTTAAATGTCTCCTTACAGACCAAGAAAATAGTAGGAACTGTCGGTTTATGCAAGAGTTACAGGTTAGACAGAAGTGCGTGGATAAAGAGGCTGTGCGTGCACGAGCGATATAGGAGAAAAGGTATAGCATCGTGCCTGCTCAACGATGCTGTACAATTTGCAATCGACGCAGGGTACAGCTGTGCTAATATAGTAGCTTCCGAATACACAGAAGAGGGTAGAGAATTGTGCTTTAAAAAGGGGTTCGAACTTAAACAAATGTATCACAAGTCTATCCTAGGATCGTATATGACGATATTAATGTATGAATTAACATATCAGATCAAACCGACGGAGGACGATTACTCACCTAGATTGGATTTTGAAAAAACATTCTTAACTCAATTCTAACGATATATTTTTATAGTATGCTAATTGTGAGATAACGAATCTCTTGAAAAACAAATGAGACTGATCAACTGCTACTGTGTTGCCAGTTAAACAAGGTGCTCGAGCCAAATAGTGATCTACCTGAATGTTACGCTTAGTATTACCTAAATTTTAGATTAACTAACAACGGAGAAAAGGGTATTATTTTTTACGAAATATTTGTTATGCATTCCAAATATTGTTATACACTTCATAGAATTCTATAAATGATGCATAAACAGCAGAAATAAAAGTATATATTTCTCATTTCTTCTTGAGGGCTTCTCGATATATACGGATGTCTTTACCTTCCCAGTGTTGATTTTTCTCTGACAGAAACCTGGAATAAACATTTCCATATCCCAGTTTAAAAGAATAAGATGAAAAAAGTTACGATGCATTGCAATAGATAAGATTTTAATGAAACTCACTTTTCTTTAATTTCTCGTAACACTGCCTTTTCTTTTTCCGTAATGCCGTTTAACGTCACATCCAGATTTATCTGCAACTGCTTCATGTTTTGTATTCCAACTAGATTGATGTCCACATCCGCGCATTGCATGGAATGCCATACCGCCAGTTTGCCAAGTTCTACGTCGCGATCCTGTGTTATTTTTTTAGAATATTATTTTTTTCAACAGCATTACAGCAACAGATAGCTTGATAGTCAAGTACAATAGTTGCACTACAATGCGTCTTTTTAATTGACGTCTGTCTATTGTTAACGAACCTTGCAGTATTGCGCGGCTTTCGCGCATTGTTTCTTCGTCTCGTCGGAGGCCGGATGCCAGCTCTGTGGTCCGTTATTCGTTAACAAACCCATACACGGTGCGGCGGCGTTAATTAAACCGATTTTGTGCTTCTACAAGATAATTAATGAAATTGTCGAACTTGGCGATATGCGACACGAAATTACTCACCTTGAAGAATGGAATGTACTCCAACAAACTGTCATCGATGAGAGTAAGTCTCGAATAACTCAATACAGTGGCTACATTTATGTTACTCTTTTCGATGCATTCTTTCAGTACGGACACTGTGTATCCAGTTACACCTACGTGCCTTGCTTTGCCATCAGCCACGAATTTTGATAATTCCGGCAAAGTTTGTGTGACTATTACATCCATCGAGGATGCAAAGTCGATATCGTGAATCTACAAATTTTATTTGTTAAACGTTTAATTGTTTTATTAGATTTAATTTTATTCACGTAAAATGACAATGTGCAATATTTTACCTGAATAAGATCAACATAATCTAGTCCCAACAATTCCAAACTCTTTTTAAAACTCTGCTGAGTTTTCTCGACAGTGAAATTGAACATCTTGTTGTAATCTAACTCGTATCTGCCAACTTTCGTCGCGATGTAATAAGCTTTGCGCGGAATTCCCTTTAAGGCCTATAATAAATAAATGCGAGATAAAACATCAGTTGTTCGATATATGAAAAAAGATTCTGTAATCTTTAATAAATTTTTGTATACCTTGCCGAGTATTGCCTCAGATTGGCCTTGACCGTACCACGGTGCCGTATCAATATAATTTATGCCTTGTTTTATTGCCTGACGTACAGTTTCGATAGCCTCTGTTTCGTTACTGCAGTAATAATATATTATGTAATAATTATTACATCATGTCGTTTAACATAACATTCGTACAAATGATAAATAATTTTACTTTAAATTGTAAAGAGCACATAGCGTAGCGGCACCAAAACCTAATTTGCTTACAAACATCCCTGTTTTCCCGAGCTCTTTGTATTCCATAGCTTTTACCGCTTCGGGATCGTGAAAACCCTCGACGTAGGTAGGAGGAAACATGTTTCTGAAAATATTACGATGAATAATACGATAAAGAAAAATTGAAAATTGAAATAATTTCCGAAGGCTCAATTTCTGACTTTAAGATTTTTTTTAACGATAAATTAGAGACTTCTCTTGGGGAGATGGATATCTCTATACTTTTTTCTGACATCGCTTATAAAAATAATCTGACATCGTATATAAAAATAATGATATGTGATATACGTATATACATATATAATATATGTAGATAAAGTTATGAGAGAGAGAGAGAGAGAGATATGGAATAAGTATTTAATATATATTTTTTAATAAAAAAAGTAAAATAATGATAAAATCAAAATGTCTAATATTATATTATTATTTTATATATAAATTCTCACATATAAAATGTTAAATATTTTATTCTATCATTATTTTAATTCTAAAAATATTACGTGACAGACGTTACATTTATACTCGATAAAAGCAATCACAACGCTTTAAGAGCAATTGTTATCAGACGGTGACAATTTTTTTTTATTTTCCTATATTTAATTATATACGTTATTTCTATAAAGAAAAGAAAAATGGAATCTAAAATATAAAAACATATATAACCAGGTATCCAGCGATCCGTGAATATCCTTGAATCTTGGAATTACTTTGGAATTCAAGGTGTATCCCGGAAAATTTCTGGAAAATTCCAGATCAGTCCTTGAATTTCAAGAATCAATTTGTCATTCTTTCATTTCAAAAAAATCAGATCACATGAAAAAGCCTAAGACATATTTTTCGCACGTGCGCGAAACTATATCGGTAACGATAAGTTTTACGATGATTTTAGATAGGTAAAGCTTTGAAAACAAATGCGAACATTGAAAATCGGATTAATAATTTAATCCCATTTAAGCGCCAATAAATTAATAATTTTATAAGGTGATGCTCGTGATAATAAAAAGAAAAATTATTTTCAATAAGGAAAGTTACTAGTAAAAAACTTGAATTTAATGTGTCTAATTATAAAATAGAATATAACAGAGAGAAAGTTGAATTATGTTCGTTTAATACTATTTATAAAGCATTAAATAATATTTCAAATTTGTTTACATTTTAATTAATTCGTCATATTGGATCTTCTAACTTGAATACATATAATATTGCGCGAATCAACAAAAATTAATTAACTAATTAATCGATCTGGAAAACTTGGATTTTTACCTGGAATGTTCTGGAATTATCCTTCAATTGATTAGTCAGATATCGCTGGACACTCTGATAACAGATGCGCAATAATGAATATAAAATAATGATATCTAACAATATTCACTGTTGAGAAAAAATTATATTGCCACAATTATATCAATCACGTATATTTACACACAGATATATATTTTAATTTATTCATTTAAGATATATTACAAGTGAGTTGCAAGAGTTGCACAACGTCGTTATCTTTTCACTATTTTCGAAAATATTTTCGTACTTGTTTATTGGTTTTCAGATATCGCAGTGATAACGGAGATTTATTGCGATGACCACGTTTCACGGCAATAAAACCGATTGAGCTTTTATAACCCAAGTGAACGGATTTTAATCGAGCATCGTATATGCACTTATCGCCCTTTGAACGAGGAGAGTGGGATAAGAGATACTAAATGGAACTTATTTGATAATGACGACTTATGCAACGTTGCAGTTTTGCGAGGTGTTGCCATATCTTACAGTGCAAGAGTGACTCTAAGGGGCTCCGCACAATAAAAGGAACAGGGAACAGAGAACAGAGAATAAGAATTTCAACCTATCAGAAACTATGTATTCCACAATACATAATTGTGAAATTATGTTTCTCTTTTGAAGACGGTTGAAATTAATCTCGGTTGAAATTCTTATTCTCTGTTCTCTGTTCCCTGTTCCTTTTATTGTGCGGAGCCCCTAAGTCTGTTTTTTATTCCTGCACTCTCTGAACTGATGTATACCTACTGTGCAATAAGTTTAAGTGAAACAAACATATCTGTTTCACTCCAACTTATTACACTATGTGCACTAATTCACAGAATGCAGTAATGAAAAAGACAGACCTGTTAGAGCTGTGTTCGGAAATATCACTCGGGTACTCCAGTGTATCATCTTATCCTTATTTAACATTGAACAACAAGGATAAAACGATACACGGAGACACTCGGGTGATGTTTCCGAACGCAGCCTGGTTCAACAGCACGTTGTTATGTAGTACCAGTTACTGATTAAACGGAAATCTGCCGAAGCTCTACTTTATCGATAAATTTACATAAAAATTTGCTTCTCTATTTTCCCCATTTTGGAAATTTACATAGAAATTAACTGTTAGCATGCACGTATAAAATGTTGTTTTTCTTGAATCGGATCTGCATAGCGTTTTTTTATTACTCCATGTTTCGTTACTCCATGTGTCAATAGTATTCTTTTGTGTTACCATCAACATAATAATGTAGTATTTATAACAGTAACAGTATAAGACGATCATATATGATATGATAAATGTTACTTTTAATAATCATATAATATTATTAGGAGTGGACATATAACCATCCATTAATGTATTTCAGGAATATTATTTAATATTATATAATTTTAGTAAAATATTATTAAAATGTTATATTTAATATTCTGAGAATATGCTTAAAATATTATTTAATATTAAATAATATGCGCTTATAGGGTTCTAACAACACTCTGATTAAATAAAAACGCTTGTTTAGAAGTTTAGTTAGGGTCTGAGCACAAGAATGGTCGTAACGCTTACTTAGAGACTTAAGTTGTAGACGTAAGTAACGCATAAGCTTTGGCGTATGACGTATTAACAACACGGCCGTATCTTCAAGAGATGGCAATAAGTCGTACGTTATACGCCAAAGCTTGTGCGTTACTTACGTCTATAACTTAAATCTCTAAGTAAGCGTCACGACAATTCTTGTGCTCAGACCCTTAGAGAACGAGAAGAGCCAAGTCATATTTCCCCTCATTTATTTATCGTGATTATTTTTAATTCTGTGAATAACTTCGAGTAGCGTTAAAAAAATTGGAACGCAATGCAAATTATTCGCCATATTTAGGAATTCTATAATCATTTTTCTCTGGTATTTTCGACGTTATACATGTATCGATATTCTATGGTAGATATTATTTTAACATTTCGAAAAGTCTATTTTTACCCGAGATTTATAAACATTATTCTCTAGTCTGTTATAAGGTTTGCTCTTCGTAGCTAAACATTTTGCATTTTTTATTCTTTTCTCTCCAACGTCTAATTAATCATCTATCTTATTTCAAGCGCTGAAAGTACGACGTAGCGTGACTGCAAGGAACAGATCTATAATCTACTTTTTGTCCGTATTTTTTCATATCTCACTTTTATAAACTTGACACATAAAAAAATATCATTCTATTGCTAGGAAAAGTGATTATTCAATTATTTTTTTCTTTTAAATAATGATTATCTAAAAAAATATTTTCTTGATAATAATCTTAAAATGTACCTACTTATAACTTTTAGAAAAACTCATTGTTATGTACTCAAAACAAAAATTCTATAAATTTATTCTGTAAATTTTACAATATTCTTCAAAAAAATCGAATTTGTTTTAATTTAATAATCTTGATCAAAGTATATATTAAATTTATTAGGATTCAGAATATATTCAGAATAAATTTGATACTTGTAATGAACTTATAATGGATTTGCGGAGTTGAAACAAATATAAATTATTATTTGCATACAGAGTATGTATTTTTCTACGTGTTAAAATGCACGTATTAGCACACAGTTTACGTTACATTAGAAAATCTCAGAAACAAATGCGCGCGTTTATTGATGAGAAGTAAGAAGTGAATACTGCTCTACGTAATTTCAAATTCGCGTCCCTCGCCAACTTCAGGGTCAAAAACTCGAGCGTCACCGACTTCAGTTGTTTCACTGTCGCGCGCGCGTTCGCGTTCATTTTTTCGTTTTGTTGTCGCGCGAAGACCCGTAATTTCAGAGCGAACCGTTTTCTGGGTTATATACCGGACGTCTCGGCGCGATTATGTAATAAATAGGGGCCCGGTCGGTCGAGGCCCTGTGCCCTCGGGGCCACCAAGAACTCGCAGCCAAGGTAGAGGCCACTGGTCAGTGCACTCGTTCCTCTCGCGCGATCAGCATCGCGGTCGGCCGTCCCGCGGAAATTCTGCAAAGAGACCTCGTATTACGATACACTGCTGCTTCTATCTATGTAAGTAACACTTTTTTCTCTTTTTTACGGCTTTAAATTTAGCCGCACGATGTATACTCGATGATAAAGGTCTCGATAGAAGATTCATCACGCGCGGAATAAATATGGAGGACCGTCATGCGTGATGATTCGTTTCTTCTTCGTGACATAACGGGTTGACGGAAAGAGAGCACGAAGGCTCTCTGTAAAATTTATCGCAGGAGATGTTTCTGCGACATACTGATACGTTAATAAATTGATAAACACCATTAATTTTACATGATATATGCATGAAATAGCTTTCAATATATTATATTTATGATTATTGTATTTGCGAGAAAAAGATATCGCTTATTTATTCATATATAAATACCAAGGAATTTGAAATTAAATACTGGATACCATTATTGTTTATATACACGCAGGGCATGTATTTGCAATACTTTTATTTTAAATACAGTATTTGTATACCTAATACGATTGTATTTTATATTTTATATTTCAGCACGTAAAAGTATTTTGTATAATATTTTATATTTCAAATCGAAAGATTGAAAGTATTTTGTATTTCATACAATAAGATTGATTGTCAATCTTAGTATTTGAAAATACTTTTAATCGTTTCGAAATATTGAAATATTTAATTTCGTTTTGAAATATTGAAAAATATACAAAATGTTTTTATGTGCTCCGCTGAAATACAAAAAGTACAAAATACAATTGTGTTACAAATACTGTTTTTCAAATAAAAAGTATTTTAAATATACATACCCAACTCTGTATATACGATACTCATTTCGTGCGTGTCGCAACTTATTGTTACTGCGTTTTCCACTGGGAAAACTAGTGTAACACTGGTGCCCACTAAATGCACTTGAATGCAAATCATTTCAACGTTAATAAATAATTTAATCCTTTAATTCTTTGCTGTCACGATAATCTGAAAAGGATTAAATTATTTATTAACACCGAAAATATGTAAACCAATTTGCACTCTATTGTTGCCAGTGTTGCACTAGTTTTCCCTTGTGATAAATGCTATTAGTCATTCTAAATGGGGATTTTCTCCACACGCGAAGCATCGCCGTAACATCATGGGGTGCTTTCTCGCTTATCTAAAAAGCGCAGGAGCGTTTGAGGAGTCTCGATAGTCCCTTAATCGTTCGTCGTCGTGCGAAGGAACAATTCTGGGAGTAACGACGAAACTGCCAGCCGGCGCGCAGACGATAATTGAGTCGTCTGAAAAAGCGGATCGACATTCCAAGGTTTTAATTAAAAAAAAAAATGATAACGCCGTTAATCCTCGCTCCTCGTGTACGTACATGTGATACGGCAGGTGATGTGAGAAATGCCAAAAACGTATTATATACCTATACAGCACAGAACAATGTTACTACGATATCATTGCACGGAAAGAACGATTTTGCTGAATAATCTAAAAAGGAGATTGTTAAAAAGAGGCCGATTTTTACCTATAAAGGTGTAAGTAAAAGGAATAGCGTTTTTTATAGATTTCGAATGATTCTTCCTGAATATGATAATGTTAATAAAAAGTTCGAGATCGATAGGGAACATCTTGAAAATTGAGCATAAATATGATATATTTAAACAAATTTCAATATTCTTGCTTACTTTTCAAAATGTTCCCCAAATGCCACGAACTTTTTAATCATTTTATCATATTCAGAAGATTAAAATCTACAAAAAATATTATTTCTGCTACTTGCATCTTTTTGGGCAAATCTGCCCGTTTTGGAGGATATTAAAAAGATCCAATTTTTGCCAAAAAAATATAAGTAAAAGAAATAGTGTTTTTTGTAGATTTAAATATAGCTCATGGAAGCTGGCACTAGATGGAAATTGTATGAAAGAATATGTATTAATCAAGATTAAATCAAACGTTTTGATCCTTTGTTGAGGTCATCATCAGTGTAAATTAATTTATTACTAATCATAGAGCTGTAATAAAAACGAAGTTTTAAATAATATATTAAAATGATAATACAGCTCTGTGATTGATTTGACACTTTAAAACGGTCTTAAATATAAGAATCAACTATGAATACCAATCATGAAATTATGCAAAGTCATACATTCACACTGGTATCACGCTATCTATCGCGCTTCAAAACCGCTATCGGTTGACCTACGACGGTATTGACATTTCAAAGATTTAGGACTAAAGGTCTAAGACGACTTTACGTTTCATTTGTTCTGACACGAGGGTCGCGTTTCATTATGGAACAGGGACTGAATACGAAATTTTGTTCACCGATTACATATATCAGCGGCGCGTATTTTTCCCTTTAAAACCCAACTCTGAAAGTCCTTAATTATACCAGTATTGGTGGAAGGAGGTCGAATATCGGTATATAACATAAAATTTTCATAATACCTGCATATACATAATTTTTCGATAATATTGACGTTATATCGATTTTTTATCGAACGAATATTAATTGCGAAATAAGTCAAATTTGTAGTATACTCTCGATACGTACAACATATATCTCACAAAAGAAATTATGAGTATAAGAAAAAGATAAATTAAAGTACATAATAAAACTATATATTATAATTAATTAAGATTGAATTCATATACACTATTTTCTTATAACTTTTCCTGTAAAATATGCACTGGGAATGCACAGCAATTTGATTGATTCGACAATATCGTGATATCAATTAATATAAAAAAATATATAATGCCCCGCATAGTTAGCATCTACATATATACATCTATTGATATTTACACCAGTTGGTTTTCATTTTAGTTAAACGAAAATACGCGGACATACAATCGATATTTTTTATACCGATCATTTCCAACGCGTTGGAAG